GGATGGATCCTGCTGGTCACAGTTGGTTGTGCAGCTGGCATTGGCAAAAGGGAATTGGTTTCTATGACCATGGCACCATTTCTGAGGATTGAGGACTTTTTGGAAGAGATGGGATCCACCTGACTAAATGGGACAAAAACATCTTTGCCAACAGGCTGGCCAACCTGTTAAGAACAGCTTCAAACTAGGAACAGGGGACGAAGAGGATGGTCAATAATCAAGTGAGAAAGTGGTGGGAAGGATTGGTGCAAAATCTATGAGGAGTGATACAAATAGGACAGACTTCATAACAAAAAAAAAAAAAAATGGGGCTGAAAAGGGTGCACTTCAGGCGTGTATACATAAATACGGAAGTATATATGGGGAAAAAGAAAGCCCTCTGTCGTGGTTTAACCCCAGTTGGCAACTAAGCACCACACAGCTGCTCACACACCCTTCCCCGCAACACCCCATGGGATGGGGGAGAGAATCAAAAAAAAAAAAAAAAAAAAAAAAAAAATTAAAACCCGCGGGTTGAGAAAAAGGCAGTTTAATGGGACAGCAGAGGAAGAGAAAATAATAACAACAATAGAATACAGAAAACAAGTGATTCACAATGCAATTGCTCACCACCCACTGACCCCTCCCTGAGCAGCAATCACTGCCCCCTGGCCAACTCCCCCAGTTTCTATACTGAGCATGACACCATATGGTATGGAATAGCCCTTTGGTCAGTTTGGGTCAGCTGTCCTGGCTGTGCCCCCTCCCAGCTTCTTTTGCACCTGGCAGAGCATGGGAAGCTGAAAAGGCCTTGACTAGCATAAGAGCAACAAGTAAAACACCAGTGTGTGATCAGCATTATTGTCACACTAAATCCAAACCACAGCACTATGCCTGCTACTAGGAAGAAAATTAACTCTATCCCAGCCAAAACCAGGACATCCTCATATATTTTCTGGGAAATCAGCATGACTAGGTGCCTCTTTAAAGTGCCTGTGCACAAATGCATGGAATATGGGGAACAAAAAAGATATATTAGAGCTCTGCTAGTATTTTCAGGGCTGTGATCCCATTAACGACACAGAGATATGGCGGGATAGCTCACATGACGCAAGAACTGAAGTGCATGGTGAAGTGCAGGTTAGTGCACATTGCCTGGGCTCCTCTCCAGCATGTCCCAGTTTTTCCTCCATGGCTGGTTGCAGAGCTACGAGATCATGGAGATGTGGTGGGGTAGCTTAAAGAAGTACTTTAGTGGATGGAGCCAGGCTGTTTAGGAAAGACAGTGTGGGAAGGCAAATGTGGGGCAATGGAGCTTTCTGTCAGAGAGCAGCTAGAATGGAGTTCTGCTTTGGGATGTACAATGAAACAGCTAGTAGTGTATGGGTCAAGATTAGAGGCAGATTAACATGGGTGATGTTGTGGTGGGTGGCTACTAGAGATCACCTGATCAGGAAGAAGTAGGCAAGGCCTTCTTCAGACAACTGGAAGAAGCCTCATATTCACTCGCCCTGGTCCTCATGGGGGACTTGAACTATGCCAAATGTTTGCTGGCGGGACAGCACAGCAGGGCACAAGCAATCAGGTAGTTTTCTGGAGTGTACTGATGAAAACTTGCTGACACAAGTGATTGAGTGACACCTCCTACTTGCAAATGAGGAAGCATTGGTAGTGGATATGATGGTAAGGGGCAGCCTTGACTGCAGTGATCATGCAGTGCATGAACTCAGGATCCAGAAGGGAGGGAGCAATGCAAAAAGCAGGACCGAAACCCTGGACTTAAGGAGAGCAGAGTCTGGGCTCTTCAGGGATCTGCTTGGAAGAATCCTATTGGTTATAGTCCTGGACAGAGGAGGGGTCTAGGAGAGCTGCTTGATTTTCAGAGATCACCTCCTTCAGGCTCAAGAATGGTTCCTCTTGAGGAAGCTGAAAGTCAAGCAAAGGTGGCAGGAGGACAAAATTATGAACAAGGGGCTCCCGAATAACCTCATAACTAAAAAACAAATGTGCAAGAGGTGGAAGCAAAGATGATCTGGGAGGGTTATAGAGACCCTGTCTGATCATGAAGGGACTGGGTTAGGAAAGCCAAAGTGCATACAGAGTTGAATCTGGTGAGAGATCTGAAGGGTAACAAAAAGGTTTCTAGAGGTATATCATAAGCCAAAGAAGGAGTAGGGAAAATGTGGGCCCACTACTGACTCAGGTAGGGGATCTGGAGACAAAAGACACTGAAAAAGCTGAGGCACTTGGTGCCTTCTTTGACTCAGTCTTTACAGGCAAGTCCAGTCTTCAGGATTCCCAGGTAAATACAAAGGAACCATATGTGATTCAAAGTCCTTGTTCTGACATCTAGCTCGGAGATTACTAGTGGGAAGTATCCGTTCTAGTCTCCTGCTCTGCTCTTGTTCTTCATGCATCTGCTTCTGGCCACTGTCAGGTATGAAGCTAAAAGCATCTTTGTTCTTACTAAAAAAGTATGAACAAATCTTACCTCCTCTGTGCTCTGAGACAAAGAGAAGAACATAATGATAAGCTTAAAGGGAAACATCTAAGATACAGCCAGTTAATCCCCACTTGCTCAACTTGAGCTGACAGTCAGATGTCTAAAACAACATCCCTTGCAAGATCCAAGATCTGATGTTGAATGTTGGGAAAACTGGCCTTGCATAGAGAGGTCCTCCTGCTGTCTGAATCATTCTGGGAATCAAATCTCTGTGTGTGCATACAGTTGTCTGAGGGAAAAGAGAGTATGCGGGGCACCATGTTTCCACCTTCAAGAGAAGTCAGTGAGCGAGACAATTTATGTGTAGTGGTTCAGTCCTTTTCAGTCACTGTGGTACGTAACCCACACAGTGGTAGACAGTTCTACAAAAACGCTTTTTTCAGTGCCAGGTGATGTCTCCTCTTTCATGTCCTTTGAAGAGCTGGATTTTATTTTCCTCTTCTATACTGTTCTAATTCTGAACAATCTAATACTGTTCCAGAGAGGTTGCTATAGAGTAAAAATAACATTATCACTATGCTTTTTTGGGCAGATAGGGTCATATTAATCTCTCACTAAAATATTGCCCATACTTGTCAAAAAGGAATACTGTTCCTTTTGAGTTGTTAGAGCTGTTCTCACTTAAAGGACCTGATTACTGGTTTGTCTTTTAACAAACATCAAGAGAGTTAGGGTGAAATATTTTAAAGAATATCTGGGGACCTGCTGCCCCGGTCTTACTAATTTTCAATTTAGTTTCATTCTACATTTCCTAACTCTTTCTGGACCTTCAAGTATTTATGTTCTCAAAGCCTATTTTCATGCCAAATAAAAACAAGTCCATGTTTATGAATTGTTCAAAATTTATTTTTGTTTAGCTGATGGTGGTTTAATGGACTCTGTCTTGATGTGCTAAAGTTGCTTATTTAGTCAGGTATTTGATTTTATTTCTTGTTTGAGTGCCATTTTTATAAGGGTCTTGGGAGTTTTTTCCTAATTTTATGCACCATTTTTTTCTCAATTTCTTTGATCTTGTGAACTAGATTATTTGACTACTGAGTTGGCCATGCTTTGGACTTTTGATTTATTTGCATGTGTTTTTAGCTGAGTTTGAAGGTGGGGAACATCTAGTAATGGTTGACTAACATTGGCTTTTAATTTTATTTTTGTCTTACTTTAATGATTTTGATTAATGGTTACCTGGAATTGTGGAGCAGTTTCTGAATCCTCAAATCCATTTCTAAGATGCAAAAAGAAACAGCATTATTTCATCCTGTTCACCAGTCTGCATGGTTCCATGCTGTATTACTTAATATGTATATTTGTATTATCATTGTTACCAAGTACAAAGATGTATTTCTCATTTTTAATCACTGTTTTTAATACCAGTGCTGCTATATTTTCAACGTGTCAAATTGTTTTCTCCCCCTTATTGCCTCACTCCTCCAGGAAAGTTGTCAAGTTGGCTGATGTGATATTTTCAGTCTCTTGAACTGTTGGCAGGACAAAGAGAACAAGATCTAAGCACCTCCTGCCATAGGCCTGGGTACATACAGGTGCCTCTCCCACACACTTCACTTGCTGCCAAATCTTCCCAGAGCAGTGAGACCACACCCTGCTTGTCACAGAGATCTCGGATGCAGTTAAACAGCCTTTTTCCGTTTGGGTGGCCACAGAAACACACCTGTCTTCACATCCTCCTGCAAGCCACATGTTTGGATTTGTTCTGTTTAAAAGCTGAGTTCTGCTTTTGTTTATTCTTTCTCTGTCCTGGTGCATCCTCTCCAAAAAAATTGCAGGAGGCGCTCCAGTACTGCCAGTGAGATGTTAGAGAGCATGTTTAGACTATCTGTGTTCCATGAGGTGATACTGAAGACATGTCTTTGAGTTCTGTTTCAGAGGAAATGAGAGGAGAGGGTGTCCCCCTTTCCTCTAGAAAAGTATCCTGGGCAGATGAAGATACATTTTAGAGGGGAACTAGCAGGTGGTTTGTGCATGCATGGTTCTTTGAATCCCTTCATCCCTTGCTGAAAGGTCTACACTGCTTCTTTCCAGAAGAAACAATCCTGGTCCTTCCAGCATAATTCTTCTTGGCCACCAAAAAATCTCCATTTGTACTTTAATAAAATTTCCTTTTTTGGGGAACAGCTCACTCTGAGCCTAGCTCCCAGCATGTCCACCTGATTTCATCACACATTTATAAAGGCATGTGTCCATGGCTTTTATCAGCAAGGAGAGCTGGTTCTGGGATACATCTGTCAAGAAGGTGACTTTTCTCTTAAAGGATGTGGTGGGCATGATGTTCTTCTGCAGATACAACCAGCCCATTCAACCTTTCTACCAAGACAGAAATGTTACTGGTCATGGATTCTCTGGAGACACTATAGGTGATCTTAGGAAACTAGATATTTAAGACCAAACAGTAAGTCACAACCTTCACTATGGAGAGGACAGCTAAAAGTAGTGATTTAAAAAGAGATCTATAGTATCTCTTTCTCAGGAGTGCAGAGAAGAAATTTTTCATCATATCCTGGGAAAAAACCATCTTGGCAGTGCAGTTCTTGGTGCAGTACCACTCTCTTCTCAGATACAATTGATTGACTATTGTTATGTGCTACTGCAACATTGCTCCTGAACAATATAAGGTATCCAAATGCAATTGAGTTCTGCCTTTCCATGTTAAAATTTTAATTCCTTCAATGATCATTGTGCTTCTTCCAAAAAAAGAGAAAAACACATCTTTCCCTGTTGCTTTCTGCCTGAGAAGGAAGGAAGGAAGTAACAATATGTTCATGGGCTTTATGTGTGCTTGTGGGATACTCTGTTGCTGCTGCTGCTGCTGCTGCACCTCTGTGCCTGTTTCTGAGAAAAGCCAGCCCAGAATAGTCCTGAGAAGTCTTGGAAGAGACTTGCCTTGCAGCAACCACAAAAGACCTGGCTGGATTTAATCCCCCTCCTTCCACTTCTGCCACGGCCCTGCCTGTGTTTCAAGCACTGTGCCCTTTTCCAGATCTCTGGTGCTGCAGAAATAGGTGGCCGTGTCTGCAGCTGATGGCGAGAGCACTTCCAGCGACAGCTGGTTCCTGGCGGGGTCTGCAGAGCTGGTGACTCGGGGCTGGAAGGAGGAAGCAATGTGCTGGAGTCCCGTGAAAGGATACTGCAACACTATACGCTGCAGCTCTCTGCCAGGAGCCTGACCAATCCAGTCCCAAGCGTAGCTGCTGTCGCTGATGGGTCCACCAGAGATGGGGCAGGGAAGCGTGAGAGACTCTGAGACCTTCCCTACTGTGGGGCCAGAGGCCTCTGTCTGCACCTCAGAAAGGGCACCTGCAATCCCAGGAGACAAGGATGAACAGGCAGGAACAGATCAAGCAATCACTTCATCTACTCCACCACTTCTCTGGGCTTCTGCCTGTGATGTCCAGGATCCAGCAGCTGCAAACACACATGCTCACAACCTCTTACTCCCATTATAGTCTCAGATCTGGGAGAGAAGCACACAAAAATAAACAAACTCAGAACTTGACCATGGGAAAAAGGAAGGCAGACTGGCTGGAAAGTAGCTTTGCTTTCCAATGCTACAGTCCTACACCTCAGGAGGAATAACTCCCCACAGCAATATAGGCTGGAGGACTGAGGCTGGCTGTGAAGCCACAGTTCAGGAAACAGCCTGGGGTTCTGGTGGACACTGAGTTAGCCAGCATGTGCCCTTGTTGAATAGAAGACTAATGTTTTCCTGGGTTTCTTCCATTAGGAGGCGTTTTGTGAGCTGGTGAAAAGGATAATCCTTCCCCTCTACTCAGCACTGATGAGGCCAAAACTGGAGTACCAGCTCCAGTTCTAGGCTCCCCACAATGAGAGACATGGACATACTGGGAAGAATCCAGCAAAGGGCCATGAAGATGATGAAAGGAACTGAAGTATCTCTCATATGCAAAAAGGCTGGGAGAGCTGGGACTGTTTACCCTCAAAAAGAGAAGGCTCAGGGAGGATCTCATCAACATATAGACATATCTGATGGGATGGTGCAAAGACAATGGAGCCAGGCTCTTTTCAGTGGTGCCCAGTGACAGGAAAAGAGGCAATAGGCACAAACTGAAACACAGGAGGATCTGTCTGAAAATCAGGAAACACTTTTTTACTCTGACGGTGACTGAGCATTGGCACAGACTGCCCAGAGAGGTTGTGGATTCTCCCTCCTTGGTGATACTCAAAAGCCATCTGGACATCGGTCTGGGCCACCAGTTCTAGGTGGCCATGCTTGAGCAGGCAGGTTGGACTGTCCTGATGAGTTCCATAAAAAGCTTTTTACAAGAGTGTTGAGTAGAACTCACTTTCCTCTTTTGGCTTCAAGTTTCAGTGCTGGAAATCAAGAGAGAAATATGCAAGTGATACAAAAGTAGTATGGGTGTGTAAAAAAAGAGCACACAAAGGACTCAGGAAAGCTATTCAGCGTGGTTGTTTGCTGTATTTATGGGGTCTGCTGTATTTATGGTATGTGGTCCTCTGTTAGATCTTATGGCATATTCTTCTTCTGTAAAGTTCAGACACAGGTATAGTCTTATGCGACAAGGTTACGTAAATGCTTACACAAACACAGAGCCTGAAATTTGGAAGGATGGGAAATTCATTCCCATTTGGCCGGTTGACTTCCTGGAGCTTGAGACCCCTACTGTGGACCACAGCTTGTTGCTGGAGACAGTGGAGGGGAGGGAATTCAATTGGGAAATGATTGCTAGAGGTTCTCCTGTCCCACTCACAGCCACATAAAGGTCACTACAGGAGGATTGCAGTACGTTGGCAGCACATGAGGTCAGGAGGAAAGACTAGAGGTCCTCTCAAGTCAGAAACCCGAGGATGCAAGAGTACTCCCAAAGCATTTCAAGCCCCCAAAGCTGTCTTAAAAGCTCTGGCTGGCCATCAGGCCTGATGTTATCCTTTGAGTGTCCCCAGAAAGAGCATTAGAAAGGGGGAGGAGAATAGGTGCCAATTTTGTTCACAGGAGGGTAGAAGAGTTCAGGCTAATGGACCCCTGGAAAAGGTCTAGTTTAACCCTCTGCTCGAAGCAGGGTCAACTAGAGTAGGTGTACTGGGTCTGGTTGGGATGGAGTTAATTTTCTTCATAGCAGCCTGGACGGGCAGCTGCTATGTTTTGGGACCAAAACCATTGCAGATCAACCAGGGGATCAGGCCCAGCCATCATGAGTTCATGAAAGGCAGGTCCTGCTTGACCAACCTGATCTCCTTTGATGACCTGGTGAGCCGCCTGATGGATGAAGGAAAGGCTGTGGCTGTCATTTACCTGGACTTTAGCAAAGCTTTTGACACAGTCTCCAATAATATTCTCCTTGGGAAGCTGGCAGCTCATGGCTTGGATGGGCGTAGTCTTCGCTGGGTAAAAAACTGGTTAGGTGGCCGAGCCCAGAGAGTAGTGGTGAATGGAGTTAAGTGCAGTTGGCAGCTGGGCACGAGCAGTGTTCCCCAGGGCTCTGTTTTGGGGCCAGCCTTGTTTCATATCTTTATCAATGATCTGGATGAGGGGATTGAGTGCAGCCTCAGTAAGTTTGCAGATGACACCAAGTTGGGTGGGAGTGTCGATCTGCTGGAGGGTAGGATGGCCCTGCAGAGGGATCTGGACAGGCTGGACTGATGGGCCGAGGCCAACTGTATGAGGTTTAACAAGGCCAAGTGCCAGGTCCTGCACTTCGTTCACAACAACCCCATGCAACGCTACAGGCTTGGGGAAGAGTGGCTGGAAAGCTGCCTGGCTGAAAAAGACCTACGGGGTGTTGGTAGACAGCAAGCTGAACATGAGCCAGCAGTG